TTCCCTGCAGAAACATATTAGACATTACAAAAATAATTTGTGGTATAAAAGAATTCTCACACAATGTAGAATTTTCGCTTGTATATGTAACTAAAATATATATATATTTTTCCAAAAGTAAAAAAGTCAAAATGTCCTTATTTTTCCTCTATTATATAGTCTATTTTATTTACAATGTTACCAAACAATATTCTGTATGTAAAAGTGATAAGAGTTTGCGGGACGCTTCCTGCTTAGCAACTTCTCAAGCCGAGTGTGGTTGGAAGAGGACTGTGGCAACAGCACTGTCACAACCTTATCAACCAGCACCTTCCTCGCCAACACGAGCTTCTTCCGTACTAAGTGCAACCAGATCCTTCCCCTGCAAAACCGGGCACGTTCTGACAGTCTGCCTTGAAAGGAGCACAAGAGGAATAAAACCCGTGTTCTCCGGTTTCTGTGCTGGGATACGAAGGGGGATCAGGATTCCTTATGGCGAGGCCCGACCCAGCCAACCTGTCGACAGCCCCCAGCAACGTCACGCTGCTGCTGCTTCTACTGAAACCAACAACTTCCCAGTGGAAACCAGCACTGAGACAGGAGAGCCAAGGAAAACGCAGTGGAGTTACTGGGGGGGCACTCACGGACCTTCTCTTTGCAACCAACATAGCCAAAGATCTCAGCATTCCCCTAGGTGTAACTTCATCTAGCCTAGTATATTCTGTAAGAGAATTTCAGCTGAAGTGAATATTCAGGCAGAATAAAATGTGGTTTTCTTTTGTCTTAAAAAGAGAAAACTTGATGATCAGGACTAGCTAAAATCCTTAATCATAATGGAGAAGCCTAGTACTACTTAACTGATGGTTAGACTGGTTTATAGCCATCTCTGATAACACGCATCTCTATTTCAACATGAGCCACATACAATTTCCAGCCTTGCTGTACTAATGCAATTTCATTAACAAGTCACAGCTCTATCGCCTCAAAGAAACAAGCAATTTCAGTTCCCGTGGTATTTCCAGTTTCAAAATATGAACTCAAACTTCCTCCACCTAGGAAACCAGCCCGGCCAGTCCAATAAATTCATAAAGAGAGTTACACCAGAGAGATACGGAAACCTGGCTCCTAAAGTCAAGGAGAATTTTCACCCAGGATATTCAAGGTTCATCTTTACCTAAAAACTGCCATACGAGAGAGGAAGGTCAACAATAAAATTCTGCAGCAAAGGTTCTGGAGAGCGACTTCCTCGGGGTCTGAAGGGGAAGTGGAATTTTAGTGCTTGGGAAGTAGCAGAAGAGGCATCGTACCCATCGCTTTCAAGGGAGTGTTGAGAAGAAAAGAGCTGCACTTGCTCATCACAGCTACACCTATGGATGTGCCCCGACGCTGACCTGGGAGAAGCCCCCGCAGCACCGAGCAGAACCAAAACCACGTTGTCAATGAGAGTTCAAAAGCTACATTAACGGTGAGGAAACTACTTGCTTCACAGCTCAAGTGCTGAAAGACCGATACGTTCATCGGAGCTTGTCTTCAGGAATAAAATAAATAAATACCAGTTTACAACAACAGCTTTAGCTAAACTGGTACGAATTTGTAAATATGCAAAAGTTGAGGATTTCCTTTTCTGCTGCCACAGCAAGACGCACACACACCTACATACATTTAAAATTTGCAACTGAGCACACGCGCAATTTGGAAATTCTTTGTAAAAATCAGTTTCTGAATCCTGTTGACAAGATGATCTATAAGGAACCATTACACCAGGGAAGATGTAATACTTGATGATCAGCATTTGGTCAAAGTTTGTAACGGCCGCGCAGTTCCCCGCAGAGAGATAAGCTACACGTGAGAATTTTTGTTTACGCCTTCTCCAAAGAGAAGATTTCAGACTGTCTAATAGGCTATTAAAATCATATGGCACTTTCAATAAATACTTTAAAGCTTTTTAAAGAAATCAGGAGAAAAAAGCAACTGCTGTAATAAGCCTGTTTTAGCCATAATACATAATGCTGAAGGAAAAAAATCCAGAACAGCAAACAGATATTAACAGTTAAAAGACAGTACAGCTTTTTTCTTTCTGCAGCAATAAGGGACTGGCCCCCATTCCCGGGGAAACGGGGGCGAGCCCACCTCCAGACAAGTATTCACTCAATCTGAACTGCTCTACGCTCCACCCCAACCCTCACATCACTTCACTTCTAAAACATACGTCACATTTTTATATAAATCTCAGTGCAGAAATGTATTAAACATGAAAAAAACAAAAAAAATGCTGATCCTGCAAACCTTTACGACTATGCTTAACATTAAGCAGGAGCTTAATGTCATGACACCAGAAGAACTACCCACACTCCTAATTAATGCTAAGCATAGGTAGGTCACAGCATCAGGCCCAAAGATGTCAACTGCCACCAGGGACATCAGCTGGGTCAAAATGGTATCATTCTGTCCGGTTTTGTCAAGGTGTTCTCAACAGAAGCACATCATTAAGAAACAGAAACTTCCAAACCTAAACAGGGAAATACAGGGACATGTGTGTACATACTAATATGCAATATACATTCAGTAACTTGAAAGAATAAGGTTAAGACTTTATTCAGATAGACAAATTAAGGCAATTATCTTAATGTCTCTTCAAGAGAAAGGACTGTGTCCTCATTTGTGACCTCTAGGTTTTAAAGCTATATTTTTCAAGAAATATATTTCAATTTTCTTTATATTTTCTCCAATTAGCGATTTTGCCTGCTTAATAAATTATATCTGTGCAAGGGTGCACGCTGGCAATTTGGCAGTGGCAAGAAGTCCAATTCGTTTATATAATACAGACTTTTTACATTTTTGTTACAGGGTGATTAGTTCAGGACTGCATTTTGGCTTAACACAAAATAAAATTTAGAAGTTCTGGCCATCTAATGGACATAACTTTGTCAGTCTAGCAAGACACAGAATTCATGTTCTATTCAAAGTCAAAAAAATAAAAATAAAAATTAAAAAAAAAAAAAAAGATGTACTGTCCTTTCACTAAAACAGACCAAAAAAAATAACACAGAATGGAAACAGCCTTCACAAATAAGAGTGAATAATGCCCAGGTACCTTATATAGGCAGTTATTCTACAACTGTATACAGTTATTTACAATGGTGCTTTATAAAACAAACAAAAAAATGGTAGCACTTCCTAAAAGATTTTGGAACTTTTTTTCTTTTTTTTCTTTTTTTAAAACTCCCTTGTCATAAAAGCCAACTTACATTAAAATATACTTACTACAAGACAACACAACTAACAAAATATATAATAAAACTCATACAAGTAGAAAATTCTGAGGTATTTCTGGTTTGAGGTGGTCTGTGGTCATGAAGTTTTTAATTATTTTTTTTTTCAGTTTAAACCTCGGAAGCCACGTAACGTGTATGTGTGTGTGTTTTGTGGTTTGATTTTTTTTTTTTTAAAGTTTTTTTTTTTTTTTAAACATTGCATGTTTTGCAAATTAAAAAAATATTTCACTGTTGAATCAGCAGCATTAGGAACATTCACTGACTAGAGCGAGTTTATGGCGTAATAAGAGTAACGGTATTTTAGAATATGCACCACTTTAAGACAAAAAAATGTTTCGTTACAGAGTAAGGAGAAAGCAGCCTCAAAGAAACCAGTCGGAGAGATGCTGTGAGAATCACTGCTGCTGCTCAGCCACCCCTGTGTCCTGCTGCTCAGCCACCCCTGCGTCCTGCAACCGGGCAGTTTCTCAGCGTCTGGGATGCTACAGGAGCCATCTGCCACTGGTTCAGGTATTTCCACCCCACTCCCAACCCCAAATTAATCAGGGGAAAAAAAAATAAAAAAAAAAAAAAGAAAAAAGTTTAAAAAAAAAAAAAAGAAAAAAGTTTAAAAAAAAAAAAAAGAAAAAAGTTTAAAAAAAAAAAAAAGAAAATTATAGAGCCAGTTTTCACACTTTTCCTCTTTCCACCATCTGCACCCGTAGCTCGGGCTGACAGATAATCAACCCTAAGGCCAAATTTCCTGAACTGATTTGCACTTGAAGTGAGATGCAAAAATTTTCCCCGTCTCCCAGTATTTTACCAAAGTGCTTCAAGAACGCACTTTTCTCACTTCTTCCAATTTCACTGCTTAAAAGCCTCCTTCCTGTTACTATCTGGAGTCGAAAAATAAAAGGTAATTCTACTTCTGCTTTGTTCTCCTACCCACCCCCCCAAGCCCAAGATACTGGAGGAAAAAGAACTAGCGCTTTGCTTCCAACCGCTGGCTCTTTGACTCAGCTTTCTCCATACTCTGCAGCCGTTAATACTCTGCCCAGAAATGTCCTTCCCCTCCTCTAATGGTTACCTGAGAAGTAGCTCCATAGCAAATGATGTTTCCCCAAATGCTGCCAAGTCCAACGTCACTCTCCCCAACCCCTATTCTACGCTCCCCCCTTCGATTCTACCATCAAGAATTAACATTCTCCGCCCAGTTACTTTTTTTTTTTTCCATGTTACAATGACACCCGTTAGATCCGTAAAAGACACATCTGCTGTTTTTTTTTTTGAAGCTCACTTCCATAAAAAAAAAAAAAAAAGAAAAGAAACTGAACCCAAAACCAAAACAAAATGGGGAAAAAGATCCTTATTGAGGAAGGTGAATTCTTTATATAACAGTCTTAAGTTTCCTCCACAGTTTGCAGCATTGCGTTTTCTAAGATGGTAGGTGGTTTTCCTTTATGTCACAGATGCTCCGCTCAGAAGACAGACTGATAAAGAGAAACCCAGAAAACTGAATAAACCAAAAACAACTGAAGTGAGTTTGTTGAGGTTCTGAGGTACCTGCACCTTTTCTGCATTCATTAGTCGGCACCTGAATGCTTGCTGAAATGTCCATTTTTTTTTTAATACAGTAGAGCAATGTGCTGGTAAAATTGATCCAATCCAAAAAAATAATAATAATAATAATAACAATAATAATAAAAAGTCAAGATAAAATAGCAGCTGCATTCATGTGTTTGTTGGATTTTTGTGTGTTGTTTTTTGTTTGTTTTTTTTTTTTAAACTTTTTTCTTTTTTTTTTTTTTTCTAAATCCACTGAGTCTGGAAAGACAAAAGTGAACCAGGACTTAGATACTAGACTCTTTGGGCGGCAAGTCCACGTTGGTGACGGAGGTGACGATGGAGACGAGGCAGTCCGAGGTAGTGCCGTTGACGGATTTGCGGATCTGCGCGATGCGCTCCTCGACACAGCCCGCCGAGAGCCGAGCCTCCGCGTCGTGGTCCCAGCACTCTTCGATGGTCACGCAGAGCTGCGCCAAGCCCTGCGGACAACAACGGGGAGAAACCACCTTCAGCAACAACCTCTGCTCCAGGGACCATCCTTGCAGAGGTAACGCTTAGCACAGCTTAGCGCTGTGAAGAAAAACTGAGAACATTTTCTCCACAGCACCCAAATTATCATAGAATCATAGAATGGTTTGGGGTGGAAGGGACCTTAAAGATCATAGAATCATAGAATCATAGAATTGCCCAGGCCGGAAGGGACCTCCAAAGGCCATCTAGTCCGACCTCCCCGCAGTCAGCAGGGACACCCCCAACTAGACCAGGTTGCCCAGGGCCTCGTCGAGCCTCTCCTTGAATATCTCCAGGGATGGGGCCTCAACCACCTCCCTGGGCAACCCGTTCCAGTGCTCCACTACCCTCACAGTAAAGAACCCCCTTCTAATCTCCAATCTAAATCTGTTCCCCTCCAGCTTGAAGCCATTGCCCCTCATCCTGTCACTGCAGGCCTTTCTAAACAGGTTCTCCCCAGCCTTCCTGTAGGCTCCCTTCAGGTACTGGAAGGCTGCTATTAGGTCTCCCCGGAGCCTCCTCTTCTTCAGGCTGAACAACCCCAGCTCCTTCAGCCTGTCCTTGTAGCAGAGGTGCTCCATCCCCCTGATCATCCTTGTGGCCCTCCTCTGGACCCTCTCCATCAGGTCTATATCCTTCTTATATTGAGGGCTCCAGACCTGCACACAATACTCCAGGTGAGGTCTCACCAGAGCAAAGTGGCAGAATCACCTCTAGCTACCTCTCTGGTCTAGTTCCAACCCCCCTGCCATGGGCAGGGACACCTCCCACTAGACCAGGTTGCTCAAATAGCCATCCAGCCTGGCCTTGAACACCTCCAGTGATGGGGCATCCACGACCTCCCTGGGCAACCTGTTCCAGTGCCTCACCACCCTCACTGTAAAGAATTTCTTCCTAGTATCTAACCTAAATCTCCCCTCCACCAGCTTAAAACCATTGCCCCTTGTCCTGTCGCTACTCTTCTTTGTAAAGAGTCCCTCTCCGGCTCTTCTGTAGGCTCCTTTCAGGTACTGAAAGGCCGTTATAAGGTCTCCCCGGAGCCTTCTCTTCTCCAGGCTGAACAACCCCAGTTCCTTCAGCCTGTCTTCATAGCAGAGGTGCTCCAGCCCTCTGATCATCCTCGTGGCCCTCCGCTGGACCCGTTCCAACAGCTCCATGTCCTTCCTGTGTTGAGGACTCCAAAGCTGGACACAGTACTCCAAGTGGGGTCTCACGAGTGCAGAGTAGAGAGGCAGAATCACCTCATTATCATGAGATCAGCTTTAAAAATTACTTTTCTACTTTAAAATATTTTAAATTTACTTTTGTTTTCAGGTTTTTTAAGCTTCTGCTTTCTAAGGCTGTAGGGTTTGGTTTCATTCAGCTTTTTTTATAGCCTCAAAAGTACTTTTTTAATATCAAAGTACATCACAAGATTCAGCAGTTCACACTTTAAAAGACAAGATATCAAGTATTACGATTCCCATGATAAAACCATGAGAGCTGGCAGCACCACATCAGTTACTACAAGGCTGCTGCTTTATATGAAATCACTTCTCTAGATATCCCCAAAATAACTGAATTCAACCCTGCTGAAAGAGCATAGCTCTCAGTTGAACCCTCATTTGAACTGGAACACTCATCTTTATCTACGGCCCACAGCTCCCCTTGACTTCTAGGCAACCAGTTATAGCCAAAACCGTGGCAGTTTGGTCAAAATAGAAGTATTTAGCTTCTTACTGAAGCCCTGTGAGATTTCATCATCTGCTCAGTTTCCCAGCCTGAAAAAAAAAAAATCACCTCTTTTATTAAATACGCGAGCCTGAAATGATCTACCTCTGGGAAACCCACGCTGCATTTTACTTCATTGTCTGCTTGCCTTCACATCCAATTAATTTTTCCTCAAAAAACTGCTCGAGTCTTGCGTGCTATCTAGCTTGTGAGGAACACGTCTCTGATGGTGTGGATCATTTGCTTTTTCTTAATGAAAGGGACTTAATTTTCCATTCTTTCATCATATTAAATGAGTCCTACTAAACCACCACCCGCTCCACGTTTGGCGCTGGCTGACTTCAACCAACTGTTTTTCTCTCTAATATACAAGGGAAAAATGGAAAGGGTAGCAGGAAGGTTTTGAGCAAAGCCTCATTCCCCAGTGCTGACTCTCTCTAGCACTGGGGAGCAGGTCCATGCACTGGGTTGGACTGGTTAGCTCCCCTTTGAAGCTAGTGAGTGATGTGTAACTGCATCCCTCCATCCCATCACACAGGAGAACATTTTCCACCGTTAACCGGGAGGGACGTACGGGGTGTTTCAGCCAGTGATCCTTGAACACAGGGCGCATCTTCTTGTGAACCACCACTTCTTGCAGGTCCTCAAGGGATGGGTGCTGACCTATTTCTTCTTCGAAAGGCAGCATGTATTCATCCACTGGACCTAAGGTGCACATGGAGAACCGGGTTAGTACAGAAATGTCCTCTGCAGAGCCGCATCCTGCCCACGCATGAGTGAGCTGCAGCTCCAGAGCAACCTCAACCCACCGCAGCAAAGCCTGAAGTTCACATGTCACTGCAGACAAATGTGATTTACATTCTTTCACACAATGGACTTTGCTGTCCCCACTGCCTGTCTGGCCACACATTTTCCACCTCGTCACGTTATGAATCAGGACCCTCAGCAAGGCCTCCTGATCCCACCGCTTTCCTTGAGGGAGGCTTGTCAGGTGGTCCGTGATTTATTTGAACAGAAAGAGCAAATCAGCCCATCCTCCTCACATTTTAGCATAGCAATTAAACACACAATAACCTAGAGAAAGGTTTCAGCATGAGCATAATTTCATTTTAGGCACCAACTGGAAAGGTCAAGCATATACAACACTTGTAATTTCTCGCTTTGTGACGTGGCTCGTTCATAGGTTTGAGTCAGCCCTGACGCACCGGAGCCAGATGCACTTGTCCCAAGTACCAGCTGCTAAGTGCAAAATGATTCCTGAATGCTTTACTTATACCAGTTATGGCTGTGAACTGCCCTCGGCCATTGGAATGAGATGACTGTTACGAGTACCGGTGCAGACCCCGGATGGCAGCAATAACTGCTGCTTATTGAAACGTTGTTTGGCCTTTGGCAACGTGTAGATGCTCTCTCACAAACGGCAGCCCAGCTTCATGGATGGGCTTTCTCAGGGTGCTCCATGGCATCACTTACAGTTTCTCGGTCACAAAGGATGGAGATGTTTCAATAGGCCCTTTCCAGACTAAAATAAAAGAGCTGGCCACTTTAGCTGGTCATGAACTGTGACACCAACAACATGATGTTTAGGTGCTCTAAAAAAATGGTATCACTAAAGCAGCTTATCATTATTCTTGTTGTTACAACGCCAGTCACTAAACCAAACTGAAACACTCTATCCAACAGATGGCACAGTAAAGCTCATGACCTTCCCTTCATCTTTCTCCAAGAGGGATCAGGGCTATGAAGAGCTTCACTGGTGATCCCCAAGCCAAATCTGCTGTTTACACATCATTCCTTCTGAGCTAGAAGTGCAGATGAGGTTCAACTTAACTCCCCTTCCCCAAAGTAAGCCTTCCTTCAGATTTAATGATGCTGTGTATGGCACCTTGACTACCTTGGCCAGCTGCTGCCCGAGAAGAGTTGGAATGAGATCACAAACGTGACAGGCAAAAATCCAAGTGGGTATCTGGGGGCACTCAGAGAGCAGCACGGAGCAGGCTCAGGACTAAAGGACACTCACTGCTGATGGAGGAATCACCTATTCCCCCACCCTCTGTGTTCTCAGCCAATTTGCAATGGCATAGTTTAAAGCACTTTGAGACTTGAACACTATAAAGACTATTATCCATAGAGAATGACAGCTTATTTTAAAAAGCAAGCGAAAAACAGGTTAGCTGCTTAATAAAAATATGCCATTGATTTTTTTATTTTTTTTTAAACATAGCCTTTTTTAAACAAAGTGGTTCTGGACCACTGAACCACGCTGAAACAGAGCCCTCCCCAGGGAAGAGACGGATCTTTATTCTTACCATCAACTGCTCTACATCTGGAGACTAGCTCCCACAACACCAGTCCCATTGCATACATGTCTATTCTCAGGAAGGCGTCTCGTTGGAAGTTGATTGCTCCCTCTAACACTTCGGGAGCCATATACCTCCTTGTTCCCACCTACAGAGAAAGAAACAACTGGAGTTACATTGTGGTTGGGCCTCCGACGGTTGGAGATGAGTGACAGCTGGTTTCATTAGCCTTAAGGCTACTTCTGCTATAGTTATACCTCACTCAGAAAACAAGGAAAAAAGGGGCTGTTTTTTTCTGACACCGATTCTCATTAAGATCACTCAAGCCTAGATAGGCTACCTGAAGGAAGAAGCCAAAGCACAGGGCTACGTGTGTGATATTCAATCAGCGTAGGCTACAGGCCTAATTTAAATGCAGCGCGGCACGGTGAGGATGGATGAAATCCTGCTTTCCCCGCATCCCACCGTATCTTGCATCCATGCTGCATAAGAACAAGCTCTTTGGAGACACACAAAATACCCTGAGGTCAAGTCAGACTTGGTTATCATAGTTACTGGAAGTTCAGTCACCTTTCACCAAAAAAAAAATTAAAAATAAAAAGGAGAAGAATAAAATTGATATATGCTGAAATGGTTGGAAAAGGCATTGGTTTGACAGCCCCGGATAAAACAAGTCTCCTGCATCCACAGAAGTAGTAAAGCATGAACTCTGCAAAGTCTACCTCAGCCCTGGCTTGCCATGATCTGGTTTGGAAAAGATCCCAGCTCTCTTTGAGGGGATACAGTCCTCATTATAGCGCTGATCTTGTGTTTAGTCCAGGCAGAGCTGTACTGAGCTCCTCCTATAGTTGTGGCAATATATGTGGCAGAATTGCAGCCCATAATGTAGGGGAGCGGAGAAGAGAGCACAGGAAAAAGCACCTTTTTAACATGGGAACTGAAATGCCTTTAGTATTTTCCTTTAGGAAATTCTCATCTGCACTTGCTGTTACCTGAGGCGGTGGGGACAGGGGGGAGCCAGGACGTGAAAAGGCGTGGAAAACACTGGAAAAGTCCATAAAAAGAGGGCAAAAATGAGGAAAGCTGGAGAGAGCTAACCCAGAAAAGCGTTCAGTCCTTCTGGTATAAAGGTAAAAAGGGAGCCTGCATTGGCTCAAAAAAACCCAGAGACACACGGAGGGGATGACACGTGTCCTGGCACGAGAGCAGAACGAGGGGTCGCTCGCCACAACACGAAGCAGAAAATTAAGAACCCATAAAAACATAGTAAATTGTTTGTGCAGTGTTCAACCAGCTCGGAAGATCTGCCATTGCTAAAGGTCACCCCAGCAGCCAGCCTAGCTGAATTCTTAAAAATAAACGAATAATTTTAGGAATATTAATATTTAATACTCAGACAATAAAGAGTCAGCAAATCCCGTGTTTGAAGGAAGAAGTCGCCTGTCCCTGGGGTCGGGGGACTGAGGGTCAGGAGGGTCCGAGCACTCTCTCTGCTCACCCAGATCAAAGCTGCTCCTGGAATTTATGTCCACGCACAAGCTTTTATGGAAAACATATATCTCGTGGAGAATTAAATGCATCTCTACAAACTACCCTCCCCGCTCCCGCGGAGCTACGGCAAGCCCAGCTTTTTAAAACGTTATTGTTAAAGATAATGATTACCTGTCCATGAGTGTCCCCTGGAGGTTTTCCAGGTTCAAACCGTACGGCTAGTCCGAAATCGGCTAGCACTGCCGTCAAGTCGTTCTTCAGCAAGACATTTTTACTCTTGAAGTCCCTACGGACGAGAAGTTTGGGAAGGGTTTATTACAGCACGCGGCTAAATCAAATCGCAACACGTTGTAAGTCTATAGGCTCAGCAGCCCCCAGTAAATCAGCTCCTTTTTTTTCCCTTGCCCAGTGTTGGCAAATTTGGCTGCTCCCCGTGTCCCTCAAACACAACCAAGCAGCCCTGTGCTGCCCGGCAGCAGTGAATTAACCTCAAAATAAAAGCAAGGAGTGATTTGAAGGGGGTGTTTTAATTAGAGCAGGCACTTTAAGGCATCATATCTTGCTCTGAGCACCAGCTACAGAACCCCACTTCTGGGCTCTTCCATTTCTCACTCCCAACAACAAACCCAGGACAGGTTAAGGGGGTGAATTTACTCTTTATCCTGGTAAAGATGTTTGGTCCTATCTGCAAAGTTATATTTTCCTGGGAATTAGCAGATGCTGGTGGGTGGGACTCTGTTCACCCCGACTATGCACTTCAGCAGACTTTTGCCATAGTCTTCTATCACACTTATATTTTAATTGCTGGACCAAAGACCTGGAGAATTCAGAGGGATGGCAGGCAAACAGGGTAGGGGGTGAGCCCACGCTCAGACGAGCTGTCGGGATGGGACCGGGCAGCTGACGGGCAGGAGGGAGCATCTGCAGTAGAGATGGTGGGTCAGTGCTTGGAGGTGGCTTTAAGGGGACATTTGGGTCAGTCCTGTGCTGCAGCAGGATCGTTTGAGGGCAGTTCAGGTAAATCTGCAGGGGCTGGAACACGGGGTGGAGGAGGGTCGAGATGCCTAACCAGTGGAGCCCTGTTCCCTGGGCTTCCCGCATTTTCATCTGAAAAGGAATGTTTGGCAATGTAATTAAATTACAGACCTTAGACAGCAGATGGCAATTGTCCTGTATGCTCAGCATTATAATTTCCCTATCATCAATTCACTCGGTGACCCTGCTGATTGCAGGACATTGCAGGCCTGCACAAAATAATTAATGAGGGCAGATACAATTGTTCCGCACTAGAGAGACCTGTCAAAATTCTTTGGGAAGAGAGAAACTGCTGGACCATAGAGAAGGACTGCTCGCTGCGGCCTCGGATGCCAGAGCACCAGCTCAAAGCACCACAAGCAAAAATCATCCTGTACCACCCACCCCCTGATTGGGAGCTTAAAAAAAAAAACCAAACAAACAAAAAAACAGAAGAAGGGATTTTTCCTTTCTGAGATAAACACAGCGTGATGGGCATTTCTGGCTGGAGGATTAAGATGGGGCAGTGGAAGTGGGTGTGAAGTTGGAGAGCATCACAGAGCCAGGGAACCTCAGCAAAACCCAGCCTCCATCACCTCCAGGGGACCCAGGCGGTTCTAGGGACACAGCAGAGTTTTGGAGAGCCTGCAAAACATTTATACCCCTCCGTTACACAGGAAAACATAATTTACCTAATATTTGTCATCTTAGAGGCTGACTGCTTCCATGCTACAGCAGTTTCCCCACAGGCTTAGAAAACAGCCATCATCTAATGACAGAGATAAACTCCTTTGCTCGGTCAGCATTAAGGGATTACGCCCTCCAGGATGGTACAGATTGTGCACGAGATTTTTGCAAAACAGTGGCTCAACGAGGACCACACAGAAGTTATTACACAGCCTGAACGAACCACACGTTTCCAAAGTGAAGCGAGATAAAAACTAGAATTATTGTATGTGTTTGCAGCTTTTGTTCACCCACACTGCTCTTTGGGCATGCAACAGTTAACTACAACATCTTGATACGTGATGCAGGGATTTCCTTTTGCCCTTCCTTTTTTCCTCCCTATTTCCATGTATTTCCCTGTTTTCCCACATTTTCCTTCCACAAACCTCCTTGAACTGGCAAATGTGAGCTGCAAGGCAAATATAGCCAGGACAGGGAGAAAGCCTCAACCCAAGCCATGCCAGGTAGAATTCCAACTAACACCGCATGCATTAGACCATCCTAAAACGGTCACTGATAAAGGAATGGGGCCTGAAAAGAAGAAAATACCTTTTTCTGTGTTATGCTTCAAATTAGGGAATAAGAGAGTGAGCAGGCTATGACCCACGGCTGCGTTAACTCGATTCAGATAGCGGAGATTTTATGTGCAGCTTCCACGTGGGGGCACTTTCGCACCAACAAGCAATCCCATAACCTTAATCCTCCTTGTCGTGCCGGGGGACAGTAAGGAATTAGCTGAACCCCTGGCCAGCACTGACTCGGGGGTTCCCACCTTTCCATGCGTTGTGTGAAGCCATTCAAAAATAGCCCCCGCCCTCCCCAGCCCCTGCGATTTAAAATGTATTTGGTGTTTTCTTGTAAAGCAAAAATAAAACTAAAAGGAGTGGGGTAATCCAAGGGAAATCCCCTGTGTCCTGAAATCCCTCTTCCGTAGGTACCTATGTGCTAAATTCACACAAATGGTGCTTTCTCCATCTTTTATCATTTGCTAAATGGACGGGGACACTAATGAGCACGATCTGTTGCTTTAAAGCCTTTCTATAGCCTTTCTCTGTTCCCCACCCTCAGGAATTTTCATGTCTAAACCACTGCCTTTATTCCACAGGGACAAATGTCAGGGACACAGGGGTCAGCTCCAGGAGCAGCACAAAGGCAGCTGCAGGCTCCTTTGACAGCCCCCAGCTCTCAAAAAACCTTCAGGTTTGGGGAGGGGGCAGGGACAACCCTTGCAAAACCAGGGATTATCTTGCCGTACATGAAGATGGCCCCGCTAGATCGGGCACAAATTGCTGCAGCTGGACGTGGGGTTTAAGTCTCTCCTAGATGAAATGTGGTGGGGGGAGCATGGATTATGGCATGTAGCCCACGTAAATCCCTTCTAGAAAACTCCCCCCTCCTGCCTTTCCACTAGCAAACCACTCAGTAGGGATGCTTTAGTCCAGAGCAAGCAATGTGGGACTGCAGAGAAGGGCTACATCAAGTACTGGTGTAATGAGGATGGTTCAACCCATTTCTTTCTAGATTCCCACTGTCCCCATGGTGCTCCCACCCCGGTGGGTCAAAGCGAATGCAAAGAGGTCTCAGAGGCACCCTGGAGTCTCCCCTGGTGTCCCTCATAAGCATCCTGGTATGATATGGGCACTATAAAACCACCATGAAGAATAAATAGCAGCCATTTTCTGCATTTCTACAATTTCTCCATTTCTTTCCTAATGATCAAAAGCTCTGTGGGAAGACACGGAGTGGAGTTATCAGTCTAAAACACTTTGGGGAAAAATAGGGTTCAAATCTTGGTGCAGCCATAGAAATACACAGATTATCATGTGATTTATGAAGCACTGTGATTTCAAAGAGTGGTTCTGCAGCAACCAGGCCTCCCTTCCTACAACCTGTCAATAGAAGAGCCGATGGAAGAAGGAAGCACCTGCCCTTCAGACATTTGCCATAAACCACTACACCGACTGTTTCCCAAAGAGGCTTACTTGCCCTTTGCTATTTCATTTACAAGTGAAAAAAATTCTTGTCTTAGCATGGGATTTGTTGGGTTAAAAGGCATTTGCTTCCTCAAAGAGCAATCTCCTCCTCCATTTGGCAGCATCGTTCCAAACAGGTCGCAAATATTTAAACGCAGCACTTGAATGGCAACAAGGAAAGAGGCCGTACCTGTGTGCTATGGCGGGTTTGTGTCCTTCACCTTTGCACCAAGGGACATCTTCATGAAGGTAGGACAAGCCACGGGCCATCGTTTCTGCAACATGGCAGAGCTCATTCCAGCTGATAATATTGCCCTTCAGGTAATCCGTCAGAGAGCCCTGCGGAACAGGACATCGTATGTTCTTAATGGCAGACCCTGCTCTGTGACAGATGTGCCAACTCATCAGTTTAGAAAAAGGTTTTAATGAGTGCTTGAGAAATCTGAACCTTGATTTAACAGGGCGGGGGGGAGAAAAAAAATCACTGGTGAAAGCAAAAAAGAAGAAATAAAAGCCAGAAGTGTTCATGAGTCCTCAGCCTTTGAAAGCACAGAAAGTATCTGGATGTCCAAAAGGAGTCTACTAATCTGCCAGGGAAGGAGAGGGAGATAAGGAAGGGACAAAATCATCTCAAAACAGAGCAATTCATCTAACCGAAGGAAGGGGAAAACCTTCCGTGCAAGAAGGTGATGCATCATATCAGCTGGTCGTGGCAATGATTGACTGAGTAGACCTTGGATTAAACAGAGGGATAACGCTGCTGGCTCAACCCCGGATTTGTCCGTGTTTGTTTTGTTTTAAGTGTTAGTCATGTTTGATAACTAAAGCAATCCATGAAATGGGAGATATGCCCCGAGCTCCAAAAGTAAACACGGAACCCATCTGCAAGGGGCAAGCTGGGTCTTGGACCCCCAGCTCCCACATCTACACACGTTAAGAGACGGGGACCTCCACATACGTGAGCTATGGCCTTTTGTGCCTCTCCTTCTCCCCAGGTCCCATTTTTATTAATCCTTTGTTTGCGTAGGAAAGCCTTGAAAGCTAAAGGAGCCTTTGAATGAGGGGAGCAAGAACAGTTCTTCTACCACTGAGCCATGGCTCAGCAGGGAGAGCCTGAAGAGATTACAGGGGAGCTTCTGGGGGAACATCAGACACCAAATCCTGCTACTTCACAACCCTCGCCTCTCTGTCTTCCCAAAATGTATGTGCAATGATACATTACCTTGTCGTGGAAAGCTGTGATCAGCCAGAGCTCTGTCTCTAGGTTTGTCCCTCTTTTCTCTGCTGCGATAAATTGCAAAAGGTTTTCATGCTTCATGCCAGGAGTATTGAAAATCTCCCTCTCGCTCTGCCAAGATTGCTTATCCTAAAGCGGGGAGAAATGCACCATCAAAGATCACACTTCCCTTTAAAGCAAACAGCTCCTTCAGCTCAGTCAGAGCTGCTCACGTTCCTCTAAATATCATCCTCCGGCGGTCGGATGTGATGGATCCCTTCAAAATGAGGCTTTTTTTTTTTCCTAAAGGGTAGATGCCGGAGAAAGACTGGAAGTTACTGTTCCCAGTCTCCCTTCTCCAAAATTATCCCCAGCTATTCCTAAAGCACTTGTATGGGGAGGGGGGAGGAATCCAAACCCAACCTCACTGAGAAATAAGATTTGTCAGGATTTCCTAAGGATGCTTGCAAGAATAAAGCCGGTGCGTACAGCAGCCAGATCTGCATTGTAGCTCTAATTGTTACGATTGCAAAACCTAATCTAGGCTCTATTGAATATTTACTAGGAGGTCACAGCTGGCTTGGACAGAAGATGTGCCTATCTCCTTTAGCAAGGCTATGACAACAAATACGGGGCGAAAAATTAACGAAGAAGGAGATAGCAGAGAAGCACAAAGATGTTTCAGTCGTTCTTCTTTCATTTGACTTCTCATTGCTTTACTCTTTCCATCTGCAATTCCTAGAGAGTCAACTCAGGAGCGTTCAAAGGTTTCCTAGAGCAGAAGATGTGAGCTGACAGAAACGCTGCACTGCAATTAGCTTTCACAGCGCCGGGGCTGAGCCTTTGTAAGCTGCAAACTCTTCACTCCCTTTGGGTCTGGATTTATGGTCTACCCAGGCAGGACACACAAAGCCGGGGCTTTGGTCCTTTGTGTGCACTTTGGGCATCACAGCCACAGGCTGCCTCGCTGGACTTTAACAACACGGACATTTGCAGCGCAGTTAAAATACCCTGTAGATTTCAAAATGGGCTTGTTTTTGCCCTTCTTACAACAACTACTACTGCAGGAAGCATTTGGTAATGAGACAACGCAGAGAAAAGCGTAGGAAGGGAGGGTTCCTTGAACTTTTCCCCCAGATGAAGAGTCCAAATACATCTTTTTATGGCCTTAAAAACACCTCCATAGGCACTTAGAGCATCTCAGCACCGGTGAGGAAGCCCAACGAGTGAGAACTTAATGCAATGCCCTTCTCACCTGAATAGGGAAGATTTTCACTGCTACGTAGTCATTCATCAGCTGAGCCTTCCACACGCAGCCAAAGCGTCCCCTCGCCTTGATCTCCAAGAGCTGCAGAGGCTTTAGGCCAACCAGAGGAGAAGGGGGTGGCGGGCCAGGGTCCTGCATGAGAGAAAAACACTGTCACAAGCTGAAGCTGGGCTGTAAAACAAAGGGAGGGGACGGACGGAGAGACTGCGTGAGAGAAAAGAGGTGTAAACAAGTGGCATTTCAATTAATACAAATCATTTAGATGTACGGTTTGCAGCAAGAGCAGCCCCAAATTCTCCATCTTGCTTTGCAGGGTATTTGTATAGAACATAGAGAAAAATCTACACCTCCAAGTGTCACTTTGTGTGTCAAACTACTGCCTGCCATCCTCTGGCAAAACCTGAATTCTCCTAGGTTTTCAAAGCAAGAGCTATTTTGGGCTGTAAAACACCGATGACCTCAAGGCCACCTCCTGCCAAAAGTAGGAACTTTTTGATCTTTGTGACCCAACAGCCAACTACACCTAAAACCTCCCACTGCTTTGCACTTCATTAGGCGTGTTTCACATAACCCTAGCAATGGGCAGTAAACAGGTCTGTCAGCATCATAAAGATTGTATCTGTTTAAACTCTGCATTTGTCCAGGAGAACAACGTGACCCCGCAGGACGCGTTGGGGCTGGAGCTCTGTCCTAGCTGCTTTCAGGTGGGAAAGGCTCACAGTATGGGCTGTAACAGGCAGAGGAGGGAGGGAGAGGTGGCTGCTCAGCCCTTCAGAAGAAACCAGAAGGCTCAGGGCACAGCAGAGCCAGCAAGGACCAGTTCCTGATGGCTTTGGGCCATGAGGGTGACTTCCTGCATACATTCTCTGATGGCTTGTAAAAACTGTGCTTCAAGAGGGAAAGCATCTCCCTGCACCCCATTGGCAGGAACTTTACCATCTCTGCAATCACTGCTCCTCTGCAAAGTTGGCTGAAATCAGGCAGGGGGTTTGAGTGTTTGGGAGGAAGGGTAGCCACCAAGCAGGGCTGTGCAACGCCATCCCTTAGGGATCTCAGACATGGTGATAATCCCATCTAAACCCAACAGCCTCACAGGGGATGCTAATGCTGCCATGGAGGCCAACTTCAAAAAGACAGAAGAGAAGTTAGGCCACCTGAAAAGACTGAAGCAAAAGCAAATGTGAAGTTATGGAGAAGAGAAGACTCTGGGGAGATGTTATAGCAGCTTTCCAGTATCTGAAGGGTAACTACAAGAAAACTGGAGAGGGACTTTTTACAACGGCACGTAGTGATAAGACAAGGGGTAACCCTGAAAGAGCATAGATTTAGATTAGATATTAGGAAGAAATTTTTCACTATGAGGGTGGTGAGACACTGAAACAGGTTGCCCAGGGAAGCTGTGGATGCCCCATCCCTGGAGGGGTTCAAGACCAGGCTGGATGGGGCTTGGAGCAACCTGGTCTAGTGGAAGGTGTACCTGCCCATGGTGAGGGAGGTGGAACTCGATGATCTTTAAGGTTCCTTCCAACCGAAACCATTTTATGATTCTATGATCATTTTGTAAGGTCCACAGGGGAGCAACTTGGAAAAGCTCACAGTTTCTAACTCACCTCATTAATGTCGACGTGGCCGTAGGGAGGCTTTCGGTGACGGTACATCCAGAAGGCCAAGAGTATGGCCATGGAGAGGACAGCGATGGGGAGCAGCGAGTACACCAGGATGTTGAGCAGGGAGGGCGTTGGTGGCGGCGGCTCATATATGACTGAGAGAAAAGAGCAGGGTAAACGAGGGAAAGGACCCTTCAGGCATGAAACAGCACTGTCAGCTACACGGTCAGATGCAACCAGATCCCATCCTTCCTTCTGCTCCGAAGCTAACAATGCTTACTGGCATGTCCCATCACAGCCAACAGTATTCATAAGGCTCTGCAGTTTACCCTTTTCCATATGGCTAATATTAATGGGAGTTACAATGGTCCAAACCACACTTTGCAAGCTGAGCCTCCATTTGACCTTTATTTAAGATGGGTATTTCTTGCTGGGATATGTAAAAGCAGAAAATTTCCTCCTCTTAACCCTTCTGAATGTATTAAGCGAGCACGAAATCCCTTGCAGCGTTGCTTTGCCTTTTACAGTGATTGACAAGATGTCAGTTTTTAGTAAAATGCTGCCGGAGCCACAATCAAATGCACTATTCCCACAGTAGTTCTTGTTCCAAATTACATCAGTGCAGTTGAGACACAAACAATGGGAATACTAAATGGAGCCATGTTGCTATGTTGGAGACAGGGAGGGGAAAAAATAGCAAGACTTGCCAAATTAAACAAAAAACTGTGAGAGAAAGAATATTTGCTACTAGGTTGCTACGGGTACATTAATAAAAGGAGATAATAAAACCCATGTAAACAATTAAAAACCTAACAGGAAAGCCCAGGAAAATCTGATAATGGTCTCCTGGAACATCTCAGTAAATGCAGGTAGTTGATGGCAAAATAAACCATCCTAAGGAAAAGATCCACCTGCTTTAATAATTTTTATTGAATGATGCTTTAGCAAGCTTACAGCTAAAAGACTCATCATTTTTCTATTAGCCTCTGAAGAAGGACCTGCTATTACTTTTCTTCCTTGAAGTATATCCACAAACTCTGAAAGCTGACACACATACACATTCCCTTTCAATCCCCAGACCAAGAAAAGACCAATCAAGTGTAAAAATCCTTGATGCCCAAGATATTTGGAGACCTATAACCTATGAAAATTAATGAAAGAGATGTCAAATACCTTTTTAAGCATTTGAGTTGATCCATATTGTATAAATCACATTGGCCTCTCCCCCTTGTGTGGAATTTTGTTTTCTAAGAGCCCTCTGTGAACATCCACCATAAAGAAAATCTCATCCTTACCGATGGTACGCAAGGTGTTGGCACAACACACTTGACCCACAGAGTGAAACAACATTAAAAAACTGTAACTGAAGAATCCCAGCAGAAGATTTCTGGACTTTGTAACCAAAATGGTATTTTGCATCCTGTCTAATGTATTTTCTTGCTCAACATGCAACAACTCAAAGTCATCACAAACTGGGTCTGGAGGAAGATACCCCAACTCCCCATCCACCCAGTCACTCACCTTCTGGGCCGGTGACTTCAGGCAAATGGGTAAACTTCTCATTGCAATAGTTGCCCTCGCAGCAGCAGAAAAACACTTGAGGGTTTTCTTCTGTGGCTACGCACTCCTGCCTGTGTCAGGGAGGGACAGACACAGTGACCAAGGGAAGAGAAAAAACAACCTAAGCCAACTCCTGCCTCTTGTCTTTGGGAGCCAACCTGCCCCGAATCGTCTTCTCCACGTGCCTTCTCCTGCTGCTGCGCTGCATAGATCAGCAGTCTCCACTTACAGAAAATAGCTTGGCACTCCAATCCCCCAGTGGATAGCAAAGACCCTTGAAAAGACCGTAAAGGAAACAAATGCTTCCATATGTACCAAAGGCATTAGATGGTGAGTAATAAATAATAGCCGCTGCCGCTGTATGAAATGCAGAAAAAAAAAAATGGATGGAGAGATGCCTCATTCCCCAAACAGTGTTTTTCCCGCAGCCCATATGTATGCTGTCAGGGGAGAGGAGTATTTGATCAGGCAATTAAAGATTGTGCCATAAAGCACGTATGATGAGGGCTGAGCTCTCCGAGTCGAGCATCACTACACGCTCTAGCAGGGCAGCAGACACCAGCAGCGACAGCAGCCCTGCTGCAGGCAGGAGGGAGGCTGTAGGTTTGGGTTGTTTTTAAAAGTTTAATTTTCACATGCCATCTCCTCCTCCTTTAAAAAACTTATTCCTGCACAAAAGCCTTTGCAAAAATCAGATTGCAGCTCCCATTTTTTGTATCTGCCTGTTACCCAGGTAGCGCTACAGCCTTCTCAGCTCCGAGGTTTCCTTCCACGCCGTGCCAGGCGTTAGGGGACTTCCACGGATCAGACCAACTCCACTTCCCCCTCCTCCCTCTCCCGCAGATCAATGCCAAAAGAGACGCGCAGTGATTTTTTGCAGTGCTCTGGCAGTCATTTCTTTCTCCTCCTTAAATGCCTGCTTCCCTTCCCCTGCCACCTTTTGCTACCATACACTCTGCTTTTAGCTATTAGGGTTGCAGAGCTGCTCTCCACAGAGAACTGTATCAAACTATTTCCTGAAGCCCAGCTAAATTATATGCATAACTTCCTTCCTTCGACCACTCGGAGGAAGTAGCAAAACAATCATATGTGTTTGACATTATTACTCATTTATGAACCCATGCCAAGCCTCCTGTTCCGTGGTATCACTGACATACTGCCACGAGAAGAACGGAAAGGGCTCTCTTCGATCACGAGGCAGGGCAGGTTTCGGTGCTTTATTCCTTTTGGGGAAAAAAACCCAGCAGCTATAGCTGAAATGTCTCCTGCAAGGTCTCAGCTGGGAAGCACTTGGTTTGTTTTGCAGGTTTTTATTTCTTCAAACTTCAAAGAAAAAAAAAAAAAGCAGCTATTTGACTTATTCAAATGAACAGAGATGTTTCAACAAGTTAAGCAATGTTTCCAGATGCTTTTTTGTGAAATCAGATAACAAGCCGTTTGGATTTAACAGCATCGGTATTGGAGTCTTCAATAGAAAACACATCCTTTGCTAAATCTGTTGGTTAAGAAATCAAGCTAATGAGCAAAAACAGCCTGCTTCACATCTGCAATTCATTATCCCCTGTCTTTGAGGTGGTGTGCTCTCAGGGCAGCCATCCAGGTACATATGACATGTTATACTTAGCAAATATTACAAATGAGACAGTAGGAGAGAATGACACATTTTTCTACAGCAGCGAGGGCACGTTCCGTAGTGGCTCACGTGCTCTTCAAGGGAACGTGACCACGACCTCTCTGGTGGGGCTGTGTAAATAAAGGGAGAGCACACAAGCTGATTTTTAAACACTACCTTTTTCCTATGGCCTTAAATGTACATATGCCACGTTCTTATTTCCTTAAGATAAAGAACAGAGTAAGGAGCCATCACCCTCAGCATCCCAACCCTTGCACTCCTGGATTTTCCACCTTCCAGTGACAAGGAGGCAGCACTTGGCAGGGAGCATCTGTCCATGCTCCGAGAGGAGCTGCAGCCCAGCAGTGCAGGACCATGCCCTGCACACAGGGGACACCTGCAGATACAGGTACAGGTGCATCTCCCGAGGCTGCACCCAGGAGCTCAGCATCCGAAGGTGCTGAAGGTAGAGACAGAAAGGACATCAGCACAGCACCATCAATCGAAAAATCGTATTTTTAGGCATTTTTGCCATCTCAGGATGCAGCACTACCTGCATGAAAGACTGCTGAGGGCACTCAAGGGAAGGAGGAAGAAAAAAAAAAAAAAGATTCCAAGATACAGGTACAGGTGCATCTCCTGAGGCTGCACCCAGGAGCTCAGCATCCGAAGGTGCTGAAGATAGAGACAGAAAGGACATCAGCACAGCACCATCAATCAAAAAATCATCTTTTTAGGCATTCTTGCCATCTCAGGATGCAGCACTACCTGCATGAAAGACTGCTGAGGGCACTCAAGGGAAGGAGGAAAAAAAAAAAGAAAAAGATTCCATTTAAACATCCTTTATTTAATTAAAGCTAACCTTTATTTCAAATGTTGCTTTCAACGCTTGTGCTGTTTGTTAATTCTCAGAAGGTCTTTTAGCTTTGCCCTGGAACTGCAGCTTTGAAGAATCAGGCTGCAGGATAATGGATGCTCAACCCCAGGGCTGCAAAAAGGCTTGTGAGGAGCCCTGGAAACTTTTTACTGTTGTAACAGAGCAACACATTATGACAAAGTTTAAGAACCACTACATCCCTGCACAGAGACACTCAGTGACAATACAAGTGTCACTGTATACAAGAGCAGGCACTGAAAGGAGAAATCTGTTTACAGTAAACACTTCTGCTTGGAAGTAGGAAACTAGAGTGACCTTCTGTTCTCAGAAAGATCGGCATTAAGATGACTAATGGGCCAAGGAGGATTGATTTATTGGGAGAGAATAAAAATTTAACTATATATAGAGCTTGGCTACACAACTGCCAAGGGAATAGGTGTGGTGGGAAAGTAACCCCGGTGCTAATAATAGAAGGGAGATGAGGAAAGACTCGCAGTCGGAATACGCTAAGACAACAGGCACAAAAGCAGGGACAGGGCACAGCACCCAAGGGAGAAAACTCTCCAACCATGGGACAAGTCTAGTCCCAGCTTAAGCCCACAACTTCAGACCTGACGTCCTAAAACTTTTGGAATGAGAAGCTACAAAGATGCGCAGCTGGGAGTTGCACCAAGGTGAGATCAACCTACACTGGTGTTACATCAAGGAAAACCCTCAAATTTCTGCTCTGTTAATCTTTATTGAAAGGGTTGGGTTTGGGTGGGTTGGTCGGTTGGTCGTTGTGGTTTTGTTTTAACAGAAGCATTGAGTCTCAAGCTACCAAACATTGTCCTTCAAACTGTGAAACTTCAGAGGGCCATTTTCTTCAGCTGTAATTCTTTTCCTTTCTGTAGAATTTCATCAAGGGAAATGAGAAAAGAGACTGGTTTATTGTCCCAGCTATTAAATGAGGCCGGAGCCTTCATGCTACATAACCTCGCTCCTTTTCAGCTTGTTACAGGCAGTGACACACAAACACTTTTGCTGCCTCACTCCTCCTGGCCCATCTCTTAACTCAACCAAAGAACAATGAAAACTTTTTGCAACATCACGAATGCCAGAATATCTCAACCTCTAAACACCCCCAGATATCTGTGCTTTTCTAGAGAGCTTCAAATGATTCCAAGTTTTCCTTTGTATCGCCAAATGCTCTTGGAAGAACATATTGCTCTTCATTTGATGGTACAGGACACGTTTTTCAATGCATGCCAGAATTATCAAAGCTTTGCTAAGGAATAAAAAAAAAACAAAAAACCCACAACAAAAAATAAACCTAAAAATGCCTTTTGCAGCTTCTATTTAGAAAGTCAAGACACAGAAGTGACAATTCTGAGAGTTGCATTAGCAACAGAAGTAATTACAGGGGATGAATGGGCCAATCGACTTGGACTTGCTTTCTTTTCCTCAATGCAAAAATCATGAGCCTTTGCATTAAGGGGAACAATTAAACCTGTATTCAGAAAAAAAAACAGTTGGGCTATTACCTGTCATAACAGTTGAAGTCATCTAACCAGCAGCCTTTCTTCACCAGCTCAATGGAGCCCGAGTTGTTTCTCCAGGAGGCGTAGCAGTGGAGCCGCTTGTCCTTCTCCCCCTCGCAGCGCTCCACGCCGCTCTGGTTGGTCTTCTCCAGCTCCCAGTTGGCGTTGTAGTAAATGCATTCCCTTGTCTCAGCCTCCCCATGGCCCGGTCCTGAAGGAAAATACAAAGCCAAGTACATTTAAGAAAAAATCAGAAAGAGATCCTGGGAAACACATCTCCAGTAACCACGCTTTAGGTGATGCGTACATTTGTCTCCCTGGGAGCTAAGGAGCTCATGGCTGTGAGCTTCAGCCTGGTGTGGAGGGTTATCCTCCTTTGCTGGTGTGAGGTGGGGAACAGGGAGGTCAGGTTTGCCTAAGCTCATAACAGGAGCTCATGGGGAAGTCAAGAGCCCAGCTGTGACCCCTGCCAGGTCTCCTCCGGCCAGTGCTTCAACCACAGAACCCAAAGAGGGGGATGTATAACCCATACCCAGTAATTTCTAGCCACACAGCCCAAAGAGGGGGATGCACAACCCATATCAAGTTCAACTTTCTAACCACAGAAACCCTGTTTAGGAAAGACAACCTCCCAGAGTGCTACTTGCCACTTGCTGGGATGTCACACAACAGAGTGACCCTTCCTCTCCACCATTATTTCAGGAAACACCACCTAAAAATAAGTGGTTTCTTACGTCGGTAGGATGTAACTGAGAATAGACAATATTCATCCTGCACAGGAGGGTGAGACCAGTGCCTGTTCCTCACTTAGATCCCATTCCAGGCTTATTTGGATAAGGCTTCATACAATAAATGCCATGCTTTTAGCTGCGGTTGACAGCTCATGCTGCCTCTCCACCCAAGCAAGACCTTCATCAGAAAGCAACTCTGTTCCCCAAACAACTCTGGCCACCCCAAACACGTTTGGCCACCACAAACCTAACCCCTCTGAGTCTTTCCCCCATTAGAGCCTTGTACCAAAGGACTGAGGAGTTCTTACTGTTCCCATTAAAACAATTCCCA